GTGTTTCTGGATTTGGTTTAATTTGTTAGAACTACACATAAGTACATCTTGGGGGGTAGTTACAGTAAAGGATGCTTAACTTTAAAAAAAAAAGTGAACGCAGCACATGTCCCAGTCAAAAGAAAAAGAATAGCAGAATGGATAACAAATCAAGGCTCACCAATGTGCAATCTAGAAAAGAAAAATACCTTAGTTGCTAGGACAAATACAGGGGAGGAAATCAAACAGTGGGGCAAAATAAATAAATAGCAATTAAAAAAGAGGAATGGCAACATTTATTTCCAAAAAGTAGACTTCAAGGCAAAAAACACAATAAGAGATAAGGAAGGACATTATATAATGGTTGAAGTGTCAGTTGAACAAGAAAACATAACTATGGTTAATATAAATGCACCCAGTGACTGCTAGATACATACAAAGTCAATATAGCACTTTTGATGGACAGAGTGACTAGAAACTCACTCAACAAAGATGTAGAAGAACTAAAGAATACAACACCCATCTTGATCTTGTAAACACACATGGAACATTTTACTCAGAATCAGCACAAAACATATTGTTCTGTAGTGTACAACTCTGTGATTTCATCTCTACTTCTCCTCACTCTTCTGCTCCCACCCCTTATCCCCTTGAATCCCTGCACATGTTTGTTTGTTTGTTTTTTACAGTAATAATAAAATGAAAAAATCAATTGAAATGGGAAAGGTTTTGTTATGTATATTTTTAAATAATCATTAAGTTTAAAAAATCCAGACAGTGATAAGATAAGCCATAAACTGGGAAAAATATTTGCAAATCATATATCTATGAAGGCAGAGGAAGTCAAGGCCTACAACTTAAAAAGTCAATCACTAATCTGAAAATAATCACTTTGTACCAGTAAACATTTCTCAAAATAAGGGATATAAATAGCCAATAGGCACTTTAAAAAAATTCTCATCGTCATTCATCACAGAAATACAAGTCAAAATCATAATTAGATACCCATTATCATCCACCTAAAGATGCTGAAGTGGCAACAATAAATAAAACAGATGGTAAAGGCAGCTAGGAAATGGAGAAATCTGAACCTTCATACATTGGTGATGGGAACTAAAACAGTACAGCACTCCAAAAAATAGCTTCTCAAAATGTAAAATACGTAATTACCATATAGCCCAACAATTTCACTCCTAGGTACCTACCCAGAAGAAGTGAGAACATATTTTTTCATAAAAAAGAGTTGGTGGGGTGTTTCATTCTGCATCACAGGTTCATGATGACTATTAAATAAGACTGGCACTAAAACCCACCACCCAAGCAGATATATGCACACCCATGTTTATCATGGCTTTGTTCACAATAGCAAAGAGTTGGAAACAACCTAAGTGCCCATCAACAAACAAATGGATAGAGAAGCTCTGGTATATTCACACAATGGAATACTACACTGCATTGAAAAACAAAGAACTCATGAAATATTATAAAAAATGGGTGACCCTGGAGGACATTATGCTGAGTGAAATATTTCGGTCACAAAAGGACAAATATTGCATAGTACCACTGTTGTAAAACAGGACTGACATCGGGGTTGGGGGGAGACTGAGAAAGATGGGATGTATTATGTATACTGCATTGAAACAGATGAGGGAGAGAACTGGTTAAAAGGGATATGTGATTAGGTATTATGGTCATGACATGAGTTCAGAATGAAGGCTGAATAGTGGAGTGGAATTGGGGGGAGGGATTATAAAACAATGAGAGAATTTTACTTTTCAAAGAGAAGAGCAAACTGGGCAGGGGGAAGTTGGGCCGGGAGGAAAGTGCAACAGTGAATGAATGGAAATCCAAAGTCTTTGTAAATTTTCATTAAAATTAATAAAATTTAAAAAAGAAAAAACTTCAGACATCTTAACTGCCTCTGCCCTGGTCCCCACTACACAAAGACAAACACAAGTTCAACTGTACTTAACCACAGACCATACCACCCACAAGATGCCAGAAGTAGGGACCAGATATGGAAAAGGCAAAATCAAAAGCTGGGAAGAGGAGACACTCAAGTGACAGCTGACTTGATAGGAATGAACTGGATGGTGTAAATATAAATACGTAGTCTCTAGATGCGTTGTTGTGTAGTGGTTTCCATCTTGGGATGCTAACCAAAAGATGGACAGCCTTAGAAATCCATTGATGGTTGCCATGACTCAGAACAGAAACGGCGGTGGATTGGGCTTTGATTTAGATTTGCTGAAGTCTGATGACTGAAAGTTGGAAACTACCAAAGGTGGGTGATTTTAATCTGTGGCCCTCAGGCCTGGTTTTAATTGTTTTTGGTCAAACATTTTTCTAGGTTGGATTTCACCATTTGTTGTACAGAGGTAACTCATGGTTGCTGTGATGCTAAACACTGTGACACTGATGTGTCAAATGCAATAATGGTTACCCATTGACAGTGGACAGTGTTGGGTGGACCAGCTTCCCGACTAAAAAAAGCTTGGAAACAGGAGTGACATCCACTTCCAAAGTAGCTTGCCTCCAGAAACTCTGTGAACTTGGAGAAATGATGAAAGTTTTACAAGTGTTCAGCTTTTTCGTTCACAGGGTCTACAACTCCATGGCACTTAACAACAATAACAAACATACATTATAATTTGCGTGAAAGTCACAAAGAAAATTTTTCGTTCATTCAGCCATCAAATTTTCAGGAAATAATACCCTCGTAGATATCAGACTTAATGAAGTAATTCCTTGAGCCATCCTTGCAAGTAGTCAGTAAGAAGACTCATAATCAACAACTGCATGCATTTGCGAGCATGTGCTCTTGTTTGTGTTTACTATATAAATCCTTGACTTACCCCCCTGTTGATGAAACACGTTCCTACTTCCCATTTAGAATGGGCAGCACAATTTCATACCATTAGACCACTAGTGCTCCCTTTACTTCCCATTTAGATATTGCCTGATTCATGGCTCATGTTTATATATATAAATAAATAAATAAGGCTCCAGGAATACATGGTATACCAATTGACATATTTCAGTTAACAGATGCTGC